GTCAGGAGAACCCTCTACAGCTATGTGATACTTTTCCTTGAGATAATTCTCTCTATATAGATATACATATATAAGCTTCAATGGTTTTGCTGTTCTAGAGAACCCAGCCTAAGACACTCTGTATGGGTGGAGACAACTCTCTGGACCACTTTTCTGTATTTATTGTTTTACTCTAACTGCTAAAATGCAATGCTTTTTTCTTTATTTTTTTGGGGAGGAGTAGGGCAATGTTTCCTTCTGTTGTACATAAGGTCTCTATGAATTGGAGCTGACATGATAGCACCTAACAACAACAACAACAGGGTGAGATGGAATAGTTCCTAAGTGAGGGCTTCTTACTCTCTAACTTTCTGCTTTTCTAGAAAATAAAACACTATTCCTTGTTTTATAAAGGTAATACAAGTCCAGTATCCCATTATTAAAAAATATATAAAATACAAGAATTTTTTTGGAAAAAATACATTTTCCCATGTCACTTTAGTTTTGTGTATTTCACTGTACATAAATTATATTTCAATAAAATGTATTTTTAAAGTTTTTTTTAAATAAAGACTAGTTGAAAATACCCAATGTCTGAACACATAAAGACATTTAAATACATAGACTTCATTCTTTTCCTCTGCATAAACTTTTATAATCTATAATTCTTCAATTACTGAATGTACCTCTATATTCCATGTTTTTCTTTACAATTATGCTCTCCCATTTCACACTTCATAATTTTTATTGCTAAAAATATTCTTTCCAATGTATCAACCATAATTAACAATTTCCCTATCATTGTTAATTTGTTTTAAGTTGTCATTGAGTTAACTTCGAACTCATGATGACCTTAGGAGTAACAGAATGGAAAATGGCGCAGTCTTGTGCCATCTTCAGAATTTTGGGTATGTTTCAGTCCACTGTTGTGGCTATTGTGTCAATCCATCTCACTGAAGGTTTCCCTCATTTTCTTTGACCTCTATTTTAGCAAACATGATGCCCTTTGCTAGCTATTGGTCTTGCAGCAGTATATTGACAGAGAAACTTCCAGAAATGCAAGCTGGATTCAGAAGAGGGTGAGGGATTAGGATATCATTGCTGATGTCAGATGGATCTTAGCTGAAAGCAAAGAATATCAGAAAGATGTTTACCTGTGTTTTATTGACAAAGAAAGGCAATCAACTGTGTAAAACATAACAAGTTATGGATAACATTGAGAAGAATGGAAATTCCAGAACACTTAACTGTTCTCATGAGGAAACTGTACATAGACCAGGGACTGTCATTCGAATAGAACAAGGGGATACTGCATGGTTTAAAATCAGGAAGGGAGCATGTCATGGTTGTATCCTTTGCCCATACTTATTCAATCTGTATGCTGAGCAAATAATCCAAGAAGTTGGACTATATCAAGAAACATGTGGCATCAGGATTGGAGGAAAACTCATTAACAACTTGTAATATTCAGACGATACCACTTTGCTTGCTGGAAGTGAAGATGACTTGAAGCACTTACTAATGAAGATTAAAGACTACAGTCTACACTATAGATTACATCTCAACATAAAGAAACTGAAAATCCTCACAACTGGGCCTATAAGGAGCATCACAATAAATGTAGAAAAGATTGAAGTTGTCAAAGATTTTGTATTACTTGGTTTTACAATCAACACTGATGGAAACAGCAGTCAGGACATCAGATGACATATTGCACTGGGCAAATCTGCTGCAAAAGACCTCTTTGAAGTACTGAAGAGCAAAGATGTCTCCTTGAGGACCAAGGTACGCCTAACCCAAGCCATGTTATTTTTTTCAATTGCCTCATATGCATGTGAGAGCTAGACAATGAAGAAGGAAGACCAAAGAAGAGTTGATGCTTTTGAGTTATGCTGTTGGTGAAAAATACTGAAAGTACCATGGACTGCAAAAAGAACTAACAAATCTGTCCTGGAATAAGTGCACCTAGAATGCTTCTTGGAAGCGAGAATGGCCAGACTACATCTCACCTACTTTGTCATGTTGTCAGAAGGGACCATTCCTTGGAGAAGGATATCATGCCTGGTGAAGTGCAAGGTCAATGAAAAAGGGGAAGGCCCTCAATGAGATGGATTGACATGGTGGCTGCAATGATGGTCTCCAGTTTAGCAAGGATCATGGGGCTGGCACAGGACTGGGCACTGTTTCGTTCTGTTGTACATAGGGTCACTATGAGTTGGAGCTGACTGGATGGCACCTAACAACACAACAACATTGACATGTCCAAAGTAAGTTGAGAAACTGCTGCCACCCTCACTTCTAAGGAACATTCTAGTTGCATTTCTTCTAAGACTGATTCACTTATTCTTTAGGCAGTCCATGGTATATTCAACTTTCTTCACCAATACCACAGTTCAAATGCAACTTTTGCATGCATATGAGGCAATTAAAAAGGTCATTTTTTATTTTGGTTTCCTTTATTTTCTGATTATAAACAACAATAATTAATATCATCCTGTATAAAACTGTGTGCTTGTGTGTGTGTATGTTCTGGTTACCTAGTGCTGCTCTGACAAGAATAAACCACAAGTGGGATGGCCTTAACAAAAAGGAGTTTATTTTCACAGTTTGGAGGCTTTAAGTCCAAGTTCAAAGTGCCAAGCTCTAGGGGCTGGGTGAAAGCCCCTCAGCCTTGGGCTTCAGCTCTGCCTCCAGCTCCCGGCCCACTGAAGCTAGAG